AGCCCACCCAGGAGCAAATGGTATGACAAAAGGTGACCATAGAATATTTCCTGCATGAGATAAGCAATGTGTTTGGAATCTTGTCCTCTGGTAGTTCTGTGAATGCCCTTTTTGTTGAGAAAAACCCTATAAAAAGGACCTCAGCCCCTGAGCAGTTGCCTCTCTGAGCTACCTGGCTCCTGGGGTGCCATCTGGCCAGACTAAAAAAGGTCTATTTACCATCTAGCCTGGTGTGTTCCCTCCTGAGTTTCTCGTTTCTCCGTCAGGCTGGGTGTTAGGACCCAGGATCGTGGAGGCCTTTTCGGCTGTTCACGCTCTGTGGAGTGCAAGTGAGACTAAGTCTTACAGGATCTCCAGATTTAGAAAAGCAGTTCCATTATTGTTTATTTGCATTTTCAACTTTAGGAATGATTGTAAAGTGAAAATGACACTATATTTGAAATTTTGCCTCTGGCTTTTTGGATGTGCTATTTTAGCATACACATTTTTGTACACTATTCGTAATCATATATTGGCTGTTAATGAAACTTCTTAGCTTTCAAGAATGTAATGCCTTTTTTATTTTTTTGTTTTACTTCCTGGTTCCTTCTAAAAGAATACTAATGCAAATGGAAAATTCAGACTGACATTGCTCTCCCAGTATTTCCTGCTCAACTAGAAACTCTAGCACTAGAAATTGTAATTTCCAATCCTCCAGTTCTTCATTTGTTAAACTTATTTCTTAGCATAGCTTTGAGGATTAAATAAGATGCTCTGCATAAATTCCTCCATAGTCCTGAGAATGGTCTAAGAGTGCTCTCTTGACTAAAACGTGTAGTGAGAGCCACAGCCCGGCTAGTCCCAGGGAGTCCTGGGTCAGCGAACAGACCAAGGACCGGCAACACCGCCGGCTTCCACATTCTTACTCATCGGATCAAAATCTTGCTCATGACTGAGCAGAACCTCAGTATCGGAGGCCACTGCTCTAATTTGATCTCATTTCTCCTCTTATTTGATATTTAAACTTAAAATTTTCAGTCATTCAAGCATTCACTGTTGAGGGCTTTACCAGGAAGTTCCTAAGAAGTATCTACAATATTCCCTGAGTGACAAATCATGTTTTTGCTTACATAAAACTTTTCTTAGGGGAAGATAGTAGGAAACGAGCAGGGGTAGAGTATAACATAACCCTGGAATAAACTTCCCTTCTCCTCTGTTCTCTTTTATTTCCTCTTCATCTCTCTTTTCTTCTCAACTTATCTCTTCTATTTTCTTGTTCTCTTCCTCCTCGTCCTCCTCCTCCTCCTCCTCTCCTCCCTCTTCTTCTCCTTCTTACTCTCCCTGCTGCTTCTCTCTCTCTCCCTCCTTCCCATCCTCAGCTTCTCTCTCTCCCTCCCCGTCTCTTCTTTTCAGAGGCTAATTTGATTTCCACCAGTGTGGGATGTATCTCCAGATTTGATTTTCTCTCCAGGAAAGTATGGAAAAATCTACTTTATATTAACTAGAGAGAGACCAGGTCAGGATAACCCTAATTTGGAAATTGAAAAGGGTCATTGTGGACCATTCCAGGCCCAGCACCAGCTTCCTTTTTAACAGATATGAGAATGACAAAATAAGCAGCAATCAGCACACCTCAAACCTTAACCTGCATATCTGCCTAGATGTGGCCTGGAACCCGGGCATAAGACTACAAGGCAGCTGTTATGGCCCTCTGGAGTCTCTGGCAGACCTGGGCATGTTCCTGGTGGCCTGTGGGTTATTATGACTCCTTCCCAGGTATGCTGACGAAAATGTCCCTGCTCTCTGACCCTCAGACTTCCTTCTGGTATCCAGAGGTCAAGAGGAAGTGGTGCTGGCAGATGCAGAATGCTGGCCTGGAGTCCATGCATCTCTCAGAGCTTTCGTTCTCTGACTTCTAAAAGAAGACTCTCCTTGGGCTCTTAGCTCATGTAGTTATAATAAACAAACTGTGAAAGCAACTATCCTAAGAAGAAGGTTAATATACAGCTAAATAGGAACCTGAGATGAAGAGAGTATGTAGGCAGCTTTCAGGCCCAGCCTCACCTCCTGGGAGCGCTACTCCCCTCTCCGCCTGCTCTGGCCTCTCCTCTTTCCCTCCAGCCTCCTTGGCTTTCACCCTACATCCTTTCTGCACTCAACCCATTTGCACCTGACTTTTCATTGCCTGGGCCCTGATTCAGCCTCCTGATACCACGTTACACTGAACTTCACTACTGACTGTAGTTCTCTGTGTTTCTGTTAACATTCCCATGAGGTCAATTTTGATGACCCAGGAAGTTGAATTGTGTCCCTCAAAAAGATAGGTTCAGGGCCAGGGATTGAGCTCAGTGGTTCTGCTGCCTGCCTTGCAAGCACAAAGACCTGAGTTCGATCCCTGGTACAGATCTATGATGAGGTCATACAGTGTAGTGCAGGCTCTAAATCCAATATGCCTGATGTCCTTAAAAGAAATCAAATTCTGACACTGAAAATATGACACACAAGGAGAGTGTCATGTGATGACAATTCAGAGATTGGAGTGCAGCCAAAGAACAAGAAGGATTGTTGACAGCCACCAGAAATAAAAGAAGGAAGGAAAGAGTCTTCCAAAGCCTGAGAAGGGAATGTGATCCTACCAACAATTTCCAATTTCCAGCCTTCAGACTTGTGAGAGAATCAACTTCTGTTCTTTTAAGCCACTCAGTTTCTGGTACTTTGGTCCAATGGCCCTAAAAAAATAATTTATGTGATTATCTTTGGTGCCAGGGCAGCCTCAGAATGTGGCCAATTCGGGTTATGTACTTAATCTTCACCAGGCAGACACAGCCCAGAGAGTCAGGGAAAGGTGGTCCTATCACAGCCATTCGGACAGGAATACTATGGGCAGAGCCATGAACTTTGAGGCAGACATGAGCAGGAATAGGTGTTAGCAGATGCCAGCTCCCCTTCTGAAGATGCACACTGCCTAGGATTGCATGTCATCTCTGGCTGTATTCTATCCTGAGGAATATTGCTGCTATTGCTTTGTTTGCTGAAGCACTGTTTTAAATATAAATTATGCAATTCCCCAGGGACAGTTTCTTTAAATAAAAGACATGTTGCTTACTATCCAAACCTGCCCTGTACACAGAGGAGCCTGGTGGTGGTGCCACCTGTAACACAGAGCAGTCACATGAGGCAGAATGCACAGCCAGAGGCATCAACATCCCCAGGACAACGAATGAACTGACAAAGAAATTGAACAGCAAACACTTATGCCAAGTGAGGTTTAAAAAAAAAGAAGATTCATGGCCTAAGTCCTTGAAAGACAGATGGACCCAGTGCCAAAATGAGAAAGAAAAGTGTTGTCAAAGCACGGAATGAACTTTGAAGAAATGTTCAATTCTCACTTCCCTGCCCCTGTGGTGTGTGGATTCCAGGGAAATATAGCATCACAGCAGAATGGACAGTCTCAGGCTGCATTCCTGAGGTACTTTGTGTATAGGTGTGTCGAATTAACTTCTTAATAAGTAAACCATTTTGACATAATGTAACTCTATATTTATGATGACATTGCTGCGGGACTTTTTGTGTAGAGAGATGGGACACCGAGGCCTTCTTCTCAGGAAGCAGCCAGCACTGCACTCATTTTACCATTGATATCATTAGGGTCTTATGTACTATTCTAATTTATTCACACTAGAGAAACTATTCGGTATTTACACATGTGTGATTTCTTTATTTCACTTAGGAGTATATCCTCAATATGTATCCATTTTTCAATGAATGAATCTAATTTCTCATTCTTTATGGCTGAGTAGTATTCCATTTTATAGAAAAATCACATCTTCTTTATCCAGTCTCCAGTTGATGGGCAAATGGGCTGTTTCCAAGTTTTAGCTACTACAAACTGTGCTGCTATAAATATAGGAGTGCATATATCACTGTGGTATGATTCTTTTAATTCTTTTGGAAAGATACCCAGCAGAGGGATGGCTGGGTCAAATGGAACCTCTACACCCAGCTCTTTGAGGTATCTCCATATTGATTTCCACAGTGGTTGCACCAGTCTGAACTCCCACCAACAATGAAGAAGAGTTCCTTTCTCCCCACAACCTCGCCAACATTTGTTATTGTTTGATTTCTTGATAGCAGCCATTCTTTGTGAGGTGAGGTGGGATCTCAGTGTTGTTTTCATCTGCATCTATTGAATGACCAGTGTTTTAAATAATTTGTTTTCATGAGTGTAAAAATAATACATATTAATGGCATAACTGATAGTGCAAAATAGGAAGAAAAGGGCTAACAGAGAAGTGGGAAGGGGAGAAGAAAGGAAATAAGGGAGAAGAAAAAAGTGAGGAAAGAAAGTCTGGTTAACATTGAAATAAGCCATATGCTAGAATCACAGTAATTATAGCCTAAAATGATTCAAAAAAGAGGTGATTAAAGATGTGTTGTTCTACATTTGTATTATAAAATTCGAAATGATAAATTTAACATGATCAGAAGATGGGTTGCTCACATTTTCCTATATAATCTGGGAAGACTCATTTAAGGCATCTTCAATAAAACACGGTAACAACTTTGTAAGCAGAGTCGGAAGACAATATTCTTGGGTAGCCTGGCAGCTGGTGCCACATCATGGGTGGTGACATAACCAAAATAACTTCAATAGTATCAGGGAGTCACAGCAAAAATATCCATAAGGACTTATCTGCTTCAATTCTGCCATACTCTGAAGAGCCATCATATTGTAAAAAAAACAAAATTAGAAGTGGTGCATTTGAGTGTAAAAAGCACAAAGAGATCATTCCCGTACAGGAAATACATTACAAAGAATATCAATGTGTGCTGATTGGACAATAAACATATGGTAGACCTCTGCCCATTGTTCTAAAATTTCATTGAGAGATAAATAATGCCTCACATGAGTCCATGAATTTTGTAATATATTTTTAAATAAAAATTTTAATATAGATAGGATTTTTTCCCCCAAGGCATCACATATCCTGTCTTCTCTATGAGTCTGGAAAAGAGGTAAAATCTCTACTTTCTAAGAGCAATTCCTTGGTCTATCAATCTGATTGTATATCATCCTTTTAGTCATTCTTCACACTTTTTGCCTGCTGAATCTACCTCTCTATTGCTTCTTCTCTCAGCATTTATACAATAAGTTCTCTTTTTCCTGGAGAAAGCCTCCAATGTACCCTGCTATCCCACTAAGCCACCATACCAACACACTTTCCTTTCCCCATCTCATTTATCGAAAGAATAACTCACTACTTCTTCCCCTATCTAGTGGTACCTGTTGTTACCTTTTGTACTTTTCTTCTTTAGCGTCTCTGTTTGTTCTTCATTTATTCTTATATTAGCACTGACCTGTCTTCTGAATGAAAAAAGACAAGATTCTGTGAAGATGATTTTCACCTGCCCACTGCCCGTCTCTTCCTTTCATTGTGATTATTCAAACTACCTAAACTTAAAACCAAATCTACCATTAAGCTCCATACCTTACTACTTCCATCCTCCACTGTGTCACAAAATACTACTGCTGCCTTTCCTACATTAGTGGTGGTTATGGATGCTCCCCCACCAAAACTGAGTTCCCAAGTCTTCCACTGTGATCGGTCTCTAGTATCTGTTTCTGTACTCACTCCCTCTGGCTTGGAAGATGGCATCTGTCTCTTAACCAGTGTTTTTACCCCTAGTCTTTTCTTTTGCTATGTTCTTCACCAAGAGGAAGGGTTAATAACAGTGACCCTACATGAATGCTTATTTCTTTTTTTTTCTTTTTGGTACTGGGGATCAAACTCGGGTCCATGCACTTGCAAAAGGCAGGCGGCAGAACCACTGAGCTCAATCCCCAGCCCATGAATGCTTATTTCTTCTTGCTCAATTAAATAAGTGTGATTTTAAAATTTTTCATTGAATTCTGAAATATGTCTCAAGGAAGACTCACTAAAAAACAAACCAAATAATAAACCCCTTGACATATATCCCTCTGTAGCTCAAAATTAACAGAGAATTAGAAGTTGAGGGAATTGAAAAAATTAGGAAAAAAGAAACGAAGATAGGAGAACGAAGGCGAGGGCAGTAAGAGATTAAACAAGGAGTTCAGGAAATTTGTCTACCAAGAGACAGTAGCAGAGGAAACAGATCACATGATAGTCAAATAAGGAGGTGCAAATGTCTCCCGAGCCACACAGTGACCTAGGGCACGGACTCCCGGTGGTAAGCCTGGAGTGGCATTGGGCTTCATGTGCTGCTTGTGTGGAACACACTTAGGACAATTTGACCACTCAGTGGGAGTCAATTTCTCGTTAGAGTTTACCTGTAGAATTAAGTAGTAGTTCACCATCATGAAATCAACCATTAAGCCAGAAATCTCACTATCACATAATTAAAGATAATGACCACAAATCTCAATCTAAAATCTTCTAAACTTAAAAGACATTTAATGGCCAAGCAAGCACAAATAGTTCCGGCCCCACCTCTTTGGAACTGGAGAGAGGCCTTGCTCCCACGCCTTGTGGAGCCCTGGCCAACACTATTAAGAAACACTCTCAGACAATGTGATTTGCAGAGTGAGAGGCATAATATGCAACTCAAGTACAGGGCACTGGGGAAGGGAAAAATGCATACACTGCTAGGTGGAATCTTCCTCCCAGGGCCAATGGCACAGTGTCACAAACTGTGTCCCAGAAGCATATCTACAATAGAATTCATAAGTTCTAGTATCTTTATACAATTGTGCTGCAGGAGACTAGCCTACCAGGCATAACTGACTGGAGGGGGCAAACAGAGATTAAAAGACAGAGACACAGATAATTCAGAATGAAGAGACCAGAGGGATCTCACCTCTAGTGGACAAAGAGCCCAGAGAGTTTGGCTCACCTTGACTGTATTCACTTAGACAAAGGAGCAAACAATTAGGTTGGAAGATTCATCTGCCTCTTGTTACCTATAGTGTGTACCCAGGTAAACATCCAGATCGCAGTTGTATTGACCTTTCCCTGGATATGGAACGTGCCAGCATGCCTGCACATTGCCAAAGGAGGCACAGCTTGCCGTTTTTCTCTTTTGTGCTTGCAGAGAAGGTCAATTAGGCTTCAATCCTCATCATTATCTTGTCTCTTACATGGGGCTACACCACAATTGAGCTTTAGGATGTCTCTGTCGGCCACAAATTTCCCTCATGCTCATTTGCAGCCAATCCCTATTCCCATCTGTCTCTGTCATTTTGCTTTTTCTGGAAATTTTAGGCAAATGGAATCACTCACAATATGCAGCTGTTGAACCTGGCTTCTTGTACTTAGCATCATGTTTTGAGGTTCATCTATGTTGGTCTAAGTATTAGTCTATTCTGTTTATATATGAGTAATACTCTATGCATCGATACATCATGGTTTGTTTATTTATGCACCAGATCCTGTGATATATATTACATCCAGGTTTGGGCTACTATGAATGATATTATTATGAACACTTCTGTACAAGTCTTTATGGAGATGTGTTTCCATCTCCCATGGGTCACTACACAGAAGTGGAATTGCCAAAACGTAGGTAAAGTTATGTTTAACTTTTTAAGAAATTTTAAACTACTTTCTAAAGTGAATGCACAATTTTACATTCTAAAATTCAGTTCCAATTCTGATACATTCTATCCCAATTGCTTCATGTTCCCATCAACATAGGGCATTAAAAATCTTTTTTACTATCACAAATCCACTAGGTATGAAGTGTTTTCTCATGATTTAATTTAGATTCTCAAAAACGATATTGAACATATTTTCATGAGTTTATAAATATAGGTATTTTATTTGATGAAATATCTTTGCCATCATTTTGCTCATTTTAAACATTGGATTGTCTTCTTATTGTTGAGATATATGAATATTTTATGCTGGAAGCAAGTCCTTTACCAGATCTATGATCTATAAGTACTTTTGTCCAATTTGTGGCTGTCATTTCATTCTCTGAATAATATCTTTTTTAAAGCGAAATTTTAAATTTTGATGAAATATAATTTGTCAATTTTTCTTGAGTGAATCAGACTTCTACTATCCGAATCTTTGTCTATCTCAAGATCATGAAGATTTTTCCTTATTATTTTAGAAGTTTCAAATTTAAACTCTTACATTAAAGCACAGTGAATTAATTTTTGTGCACAAAGTAAAGATCTAAGGTTTTTTATTTATACATATAATATAAAATTACCCAGAACAAATGCTTAAGAATATCCTTTGTTTGTTTGTTTGTTTGTTTATGGTACTGGGGCTCAAACTCAGGACCTTGTGCTTGCAAGGCAGGCACATTGCCACTGAGCTAAATCCCCAGCTCAAAGAATATCTTTTCAACATTGAATTGCCTTGGAACCCTTGCATAAGTTTAATATATTCAATTTAATATAAATTTATTTCTGAACACTATAGTCTGTTCCATTGATCTGTATGTCTATCCACATGCCAATACCACTTTACTTTGATACTGTGGCTTTATATAACATTTAAAATGTGTCTTTTTAAAACTTATTTTGGCTATTCTAGGTCCTTTGCATATCCATGTAATTTTAGGATCAATTTGTCAATGTCAATTAAAAAAGAAAGAAAAAGCCTGCTGAGATCTTGATGAGCATTGTGTTAGATCTGTAAACCAACTGAGAAGGAACTGCACCCTTGACAATAAAGAATCTTCTATTCCATAAGCATGATATATTTTTCTATAATTTAGACCTTTAATTCTTCAGTAATGTTATTTATTTTATCATACAGATTTTGCAGTTCATTTGTTAAATTTATTCCTAAGAATTTTTTTAAAAATCTATTGTGAAAAGGCCCTGTTCTCCCCTACCCTCACTTCCCTGTCCTCTTCCTCCTCCTCCTCACTCTCTTTTGGCATTGTGGATCAAACCCAACAGTCTGCACCTCTACCACAGAATTATACCTTTGGCACGTTTTCTTAATTTTCAGCTTTTCAATTGCTAGTATGCAGGAATACAACTGATTTTTGTACAGTGATCTTGTGTCTTGTAACATTCAACTTATTCATTGTAATAGATTTTATAGGTTTTTTAGTATTTTCTATACCCAAGATCATGCCATCTGTGAAAAAATAAAATTTTCCTTTTTCATTTCCAATGTGTGGGCATTTACATTTTATTCCTTTTATATACTGACTGGGACCTCCAGCACAGTGTTGAATAGAAGTGGTTATAGTGGGTATCTTTGCCTTGTCCCCAACCTTATAGAAAAAAACATTCAATATTTTACATTAAGTACAATGGTGGCTGTACATTTTTTATAGTTATCCTTTGTCAGATTGAGATTTATTTCTATTCTTAATGTGTTCTAGTTTAACCATGAATGGGTGTTGGAATTTGTCAGATGATGATGATCATATTTTTATGTTCTTTATTCTTCTATTAATATAGTATACTATTTATCAATTGATTTTTGTTGTTGTTCCAGGGATCAAATTTGGGACCTTACACTTGTGAGGCAGGTGGCAGAACCACTGAGCTAAATCTCCAGCCCCCGTTGATTCATTTTTTAATACTAAACCTACCTTGCACTCTGGGATTTGTCTTGCTGAAGATATATAATGCTTCCTATACTTTAAGAGATTTGTTTTCCTAATATTTTATCAAAGATTTCTGTGCCTATGTACGTAAATCTAGTTTTCTTTTGAGGCCGTTATCCAGCTTTGGGATTAGGCTTATACTGATCTCATAGAATGAATTGGGAAGTGTTCTCTTTTTTTTTTTTTATTAAGTTTGTTGGTACTTTTTGGGTGTATAGTGCAATTACATTCAATATTGGGATCTTGTACCTTTACATGACAGGTCTTGGTTCTCATTTTTTCCCCTTGTCCCTGCCCTCCCTTCACGCCCTCTACCCTTCCCTATTTACAAAGACTTTGTTTCCATTTTTCATTCTTCCTCGTATTTTTTATTTTCCCTTTATTCCTTTCCCCTACCCTTTCCATTTCCCCTACTCTTTTAGACTTTTTCTTCCTGTTTCACATTCTAAATTATACAATTTGAACCTTTTTTACTTTTAGTTTTCCACACCAGAAAAACTATTCAGTATTTACATATGTGTGTCCTATTAATTTCACTTGAGTGTGACCTCAATGTGCATCGATTTAGCTATAAATGTCTCTAGTTTCTCATTCTTTATGGCTGAGTACTATTCTGTTTTATTGAAAAACCACATCTTATTTATCTACTCTGTTCTATAGTTTCTAAAGGAATCTGTTTAATATTAATTTTGTTCTTTAAATATTTGATAGAACTTGCATTTTAGTCATTTGCATCTAGGGTCGTAGAAAAAAATATTTGAATTGCTAATTAAATATCTACTTCTAGCTTTATTAGACTTTCTATCTTTTCTTGAGTCAGATTGGCTAATTTGTATCTTCCTATATACATTTGTCCATTTAATCTGAGTGATTAGATACTGAACAGTTATGTACAATCATTTGGCAGAGTCTCTTGAAAATGGCAGAGTTGAACTGTTTGAGATGATTTTGTGTTGAGAGTGTGGTTTGGCAATAGGAAAACATGTTAAGTGGCCCTGCTCTTGGTGGAAATTAAAGTTGCCACTTAAACACTGGAGGAAGCTAAGGAGAGGTACAGCCATTAAGGGATACCCCTTAAAGAAAGGAATGTGGTCTCACACTGTACAGCAGGAATAGCCCAGGTACAGACTTAAAGTTTATTTTCAGAAAGTAATTAATTCTTTACTATTGTCCTGGGGTTTTCATTGTGTTAGATTTCTATTGTTGGGACAAAAATACCTGACAAACATAACTTAAAGAGGGAAAGACTTACTTTGGCTCATGGTGTCAGATGTTTAAGTCCATGGTCAGCTGGCTCTAAGATAGAAACATCATCGTCGAAAGGCAAGGCAGAAAAAGTTGTTTACCTCGTGGCAGCTGGGAAGCAAAGAACAAAGGAAACAGCCCAACAAAGGATATACCCATCAGAGACACACCCCTATTTCTTCCAACTTTATTGAAGTTCTGAGTAGCCTGTTCTGCTATGAATTCATCATAGGTCAATCCATTGGTGAGATGAGTATCCGCACTATCTAGTCACTTCTCCTGGCATCTCTTGATTAAATCAAGTTGACATCACATTCAGTAAAGTTTTCTGAAACTTCTGCCTCCTTTGAACTGTATATTTTGGAGTTATCAAACTGTCCAAATGTGAAGGAAGTTTTTTGTTGTTGTTGTTGTTGTTTTAAAGAAAGCAACCTACAGAAGACAACTATAAGATGTCAAGAAACAACTTCTGGGCCATGGTGCAGCAGCAGGTCAGAGTACCACAGAAGTGACAAGCAAATTGCCAGGAAGAATCTGGAACAGGTAGACATTCCTCAATAATTTTCTAAGATTTCTTTGGGGAGGTGAAACTGGGAGAAAAATGGATTTTCATTTGAGAAGGGAGGCCCTGTATTGTTAAATTATGAGTCTTAAAGAAAAAGTAAAGCATGGGTTTATGTGACAGCCACAGGCATGTGAAGACTGGAGATACAGGCAACCATGGAGTCAGGGTATTTGAAGGGCTGCTCCTTTCAAATTGAAAGCAATCAGATAAAATCACATCACATATTTCTTTCTCAAGGACAATATTTGCATGTTTAAATAGACACATTAGCAATCACAGAGTTATTGTTTATTGCAAAAAAAATAAATGGTTAACTAGTGTAGTCTCTGGTAGCAATGGCAGGTAGATAAAAAAGACTTTGTGGTTCTTTGGGATGAAACTTTTGAATCCCCTTAGATCACATAGGTAGAGGATGCTATAACCTGTCTATTATAAACAAGTCCTGTCCTAAACCAAGCATGGCAATCATTCAGGCAAGCAGAGAGGAGAATGTAAAAGAAGTATTTCAACCCCATTAGATATGCACTGAGACAATCTACTCATGTCCAATTATTTTACTATTAAAGACCTGTTCATCCAACCGAAGAGAAGGCTCCAAAGTAAATAGATTAGTTGGTTAATTTACTAAACACAGGAATGGAGAGGGATTACGTGAAATGGGGTTTCCTTGCTTCTCACCATGCTGAATGGAGTCCTTTCTGTATTTTACACAGAGATTGACATATAAGGTAATAGCATGTGAAACTGCAAGCCAGCGGACTGTACATCCCGTGAAATTTGTATTGATGTCATGCAGTGAGGGGGCAGGGCGATTTAAGCACTGAGAGAACTGGACAAGAGCAAGATTTGATTGAAAATATTCTGATGCATCAAGAATGTGTAATTCGTATTATCTTCATATTTTCTCGTTTTAATACACCCCCAACCCCTACTCAGAGATCCCCGTGTTCCATTGTTTCCAACGGAATATATGGAAAGCTGAGAAGCGGAGGTGTGTGGAAGCTGGAAGGCTTGAGATAGATTTGTTTTCCTAGAAACTCTAGCCAGCTGGGAAGATTAAGGCTCGAGGGAAAGGGCCAGGGTCATTGTGTGAGGATCATTTTCAGAAAGACTGAGAGGGCTGAAGTGAGGAGGGACACCCATTGCCAGGGAGAAGAGGCAGGGTCATAATTCTCTGTTAGAGCAGTGGGAAGGTGAGATGGCTTCAGGGACATACAGCTCTGTTCCAAGTCTAGGAGGAAGAAGTCACAGTCGTGGGATTCCAAACCACTACACCGAAAAGATTGCTATGATCTCCAGTAGGATAGAAATAAAAGGAACGGCCAGGCCAAATCTCCCACATTACCATTTTTTTGCACATAAAATTGGTGAAGCAGGGCTTACACAGTCCTGCGGCACTAATAAGTCAGTGCTGGAAACAAAAGTACTTGGCAGTGCCCCAGGTATGGGCAAGGTGGAATTTTCTGTCAGGTTAGCTTCATGGTGACTCAGAATATAAACTAAGTTGATAGACTTTAAAAACGGAGATGAGAATTCCCATACGCTTGACAGTGTGAGTTGTTTATGCCAATATGAAGGCCTATTCTCTAAATACAAACTGAAACCTTTAGACTTTGTATAGTGGGTTCCTCATTGGAAAAAAAATTTTTGATACAAGCAGGGAAAGAAGGCAGGTTGCAATCAGAACATTGCTTTTGAGGGTCCTGGCCAGTTCACGGAAGGAGCAGATCCATTATAAGGCTTTTCTACCTTCGCAGTACACAGTGACCCAGCTGCTGTAACTGAAAGGCTACATGGAAGAGGTCCTTTCCCATCACCTTCTGTCCTAGTTCCTCCAAACTCCTAACAGACAGGTACATTTGTTTTTGTTTTCAAGCACAGTCTAAGCTTCAAACTGCAAATCATTAAAAAAAAAAAAAAAAAAAAAGACTTAGCTATAGTGGGCAGGGCTGGTTAATCCTACACCTCACCGTAAGAAAGGCCTCTTGGCATGGGGAGAGGGGCATGCAAAGGCAAGCAGCTCATCAGGAAGGGGAGAGGAAGTGCATCTACCATCACTGAGGCTAGCATTAGGTGTGGGAGCATGGAAAGCTAGGCTCAGCCAGAGCTCCCGAGCAGTGACTCTATAAAGGAGCCTGACAGGAGCCTTCTTGGAATAAATCAATGTGGTGAGGGTGTTGTGTTTTGGAGCCCAGTACTTGAGGCTGGTAACTCACACAGTAAGCTGATAAGGGGTGTACACACTAATATTCTCAAGGAGAGGGAGATTACACTCCATGTTCTTATTACAATGCTTAGGCCACTCATGTGGCAAACTATGGAAGTGTTATGAATCACCCTAAGCTACACACTCAGTGTGTCCTTGAATCACATTTTAAAAGCCTCCCTCCAGCTACAGTGTAAAAAGCTGACTATATAAGAGCAAGAATGGAAGCAAGAAGACTAGCCGGTTTGGTAATAGTTTGAGCCAGTACTGTAGGGCTGAGCATAGTGATGGGTGGTCAGATTCTGGAGACTTTAAAGGTCTTGCAGTGGGAGAGAGAAGATCAGCAGTTTGAGAATGACAGGGAGCCTTTTGCCTTGAACATATGAACAGTGGTGTTCTGGAAAAGAACAAAGTGGGAGAACTCATTTTGGAGGCTGCCATAGTTTGAATGTGTCCCCCAAAGTTCATGTACTGAAAAATTAATCTTAATACAATAGTGTTGAGAGAGAGGTGGAAGTTTAAAAAGATAATTAATCCATTTAGAATCTATTAATGTTTTATTATGAAAGTGGGTTTGTTATCATGAATGAGTTTGTCCCTTGCTTGTGTTCTCCTTACTCTTCATCCCTTCTTCTCCCTGTGCATTAACTCTATAACTCTTATTCTCTCCATATTTTCATTTTTTTAAATTATCCCCACCGCTATTCAGAGATGGCCTATGTTCTCACCCCCTCTCAAGAAGCTGTTTTCTGACACATTCTTATGCAACATGAAGTTCTCTCTACCTTGATATTGGACTCCTGTCCTTCAGAACAGTGAGAAATGGATTCATTTTCTTTATAAATTACTCAGAGTGTGGAATTCTGTTATAGAAACACAAAAGGGATTCAGACTAGGGCTGAATAAAAAATTGGCTCTGAACACAATAGTATTAAACAACTAAGTAGAAATTTTAGGCACCCAGATACATGAGACTAGATTGCCAAGAAAAACATTGGAGATACAATTGGGAGTCTTTAGTAGATGAGGAGTGAACAAAGTCAGGAGACTGGAAGAGTTCTACAAGAAGAAAGAGCACATGGGGAAGTCATCTGAGCCTGAGCCTGAGGTCTTTCTGGTATCAGATGTCAGGAATGGAAAGAGTACACAGCCAAGGAGACTGGGGAGAAACCCCAGAGTCAAAGGAGGAAACAAGATTGAGTAAAATAAGGCTTGGGGGTCTCTTTTCCTCCATCCTTCTTCACAGAGTAGAACAGTTTCATCTCTAACAGTAGCTAGGGCCTTCCTACCCCAGTGTTTTGCCTATTCGATGTTATCTTCCTCTTCATCCTTATAGCCCCACAGCTTACCCAGGAAGGCCTTGTATATGAGCTAGAAATAATCATATGGCCCACGTCTAGTCCGTGAGATATAAACAGGGCCATGGGATGCAGACTTTTGGAAAATTCTTTAAAAGGGACTAGTTAGGCGGCACATATGCCCAATTTCCTTAGCTCATCCCTTTCTTTCTAAAACATAGATTTGATGGCTGGAAATAGATCCTGACACCAGGAGAACTACAGGTGCATCCTAAAGAAGGTGGGTGGGAAAGACAGCGAGATCTTGGATTAATGATGTTAAGGTGCCTCCATCCCAGTCTTAGATGACTTACTGCCTGATCTCTTTATAACACTGGTGCACTGGTTTTCCGTTACGTGACTACTAAGCCTGATCCTAAGTGATAAACTACTTATATAGTCTGTACCACTGGCTCTCCCTTCCATAGCAGCCCCTGTCATCCTATATAGTGGAAATAAGATAGGGCTGGAAGCAGGAGACTGTGGTGCCAGGACCAACTTGGCTAATCTTCTCACTTTGTACCTTTGATCAAGTTGCTTGAGCCTCTTCACCTTTTCTTTCTTCGTAAAGTATGTGTAGGGAGTAGTAGCTCAGTGGTAGAGCTCTTGCCTGGCATACATGAGGCCCTGGGTGCAATCTCCAGCCCTTCTCAAAATAAAATCAGCCTGTAAAATGGATGTGTTAGAAGAGCCAACCCTTAACCTTCTGTTTTGACTATACTTTTTTTCTTCAAAACTGTTTTGTTCTTGGTCATCAGTGAACTGTTCTGGTTATGCTGCTTGAAGTAAATGTGAATGTAGTACATCTCTGGGGCCTAGCTTAGATCAAGGATATAGAGAAGAATCCATGAGCTACAATAAAAATATACTCTTAAAAAGCTTGAAATACTAAAATAGAAAGCTCCGTGTCTTTTAGTGGCTGCTTGGTAAAGAAAGAAAACACAAGAGCAAACATTTCAGTTGTAAATGGAAACTAGGTTGGACATATTTAAAGGCCTAGATTTGAATTACAAAGCCAAAAAAAAAAACTATGCAAAGGGTCTAGGTGGGTTTGCAGGGAAGTCTAGCAATAACTGCTAGAGATGCTGGAGGAACACAGCAGCCCCCTTAGAGAGCAGGTAGGATCCTGTGGGTCAATCTCAGTGGGAATCAGCTTCCTGGCTGAAGATGGGTGTTTCAGGTCAGTGAAATTAACTATGGAAGGGTGTTATGTGCATGGGTGCATATGCATGGGGAAGCAAAGGAGAAGGGAAAAGTCTGAGAGCAGGAGGAGGAAAAGTGTTACTCTGAAAGACAACTCTCTTAAGTATCATTTATAAACACTGAGTTTTATTCAAAATGCCAGCATAGATTGTGCTAATGTCAATAGTAGAGCCCATGCAGAGGCAAGTGATTATCTGGTTGCAAAAGAGGCAGAGGAAGGAACAGCCCCAGCCCAGGGCAAAACTGCTTTCATCAACATCAGTGCATCTATATGCAAAACCCTGGATGGAGTTCAACCCTTATCACAGTCCATCCTCAAATTACCTTGTGTGGCAGGTTGGGCAAGTTCAGGGCTATTACCTGGCCCAGTCCTGTCACTCTGAGTCTTAGAAGAACAGCCCTCCCAGAGAAGTTAGACTAGGCTGTACTCTTAAAGCTGATGACAGCTTCAGCAGGGCCACAGGGTAGGGAGCAGTATGCTCTGAGGATTCCCTGGAATATAAGGGATTATGGAGCTGAAGGCAACCTAGAAATTGAAACAGGAGAGTTCTCTGGCCTCCCTCTATTTGTCCAAAAGTAAGAGATTTACAAGGACAAAAGTTATCTTAACACCACCCCCATCTCTACCTGGGAGAACAAAGGTTAACCACTAAAAACAGTGTTCCACCCTTCTTGGCCAGGATGGTACCAGAGAAAATTACATCAACACACTTTACTAACCAGCTTTTATCCACACTGACTTGCCTCACCAAAGTTGCCACCATAGAGATTCAAAATCTCTTTTCATTCTCTTGTCAGATCCCTAAAAATGACTGTTCTTTGCTGAAGATGCTGTATAAACTGTAATTCAAAGACACCACTTTGAGGACTATGGATATCTGACATATCTGATATGTCTTTAATGTATATATGAGATATGCAGTAATATATTTTTGTTTTTCTCTTGTTAATCTGTTTTTTTGTTTCTTTTTTTTTTTTTTTTTTTTTTTTTTTTTTTTTGATTGAACTCGGGTCCTTGCGCTTGCAAGGCAGGCCACTGAACCACTGAGCTAAATCCCCGGCCTTGCTAATGTGTCTTTGGAGTAGGGATCTCTTCCAACTAAGAATTTACTGGGGATTTGGGGTTTTGTTGTTGGTTTGGTTTGGCTTTTCAGCACTAGAAATTGAACCCAGGGCCTTTGCACCGAGTTTGTCCCCAGCCCTACTTTCAAAATGTTTTTAGTTTTGAGACAGGGTCTCACCTAAGTCATTAAGTTGCCCAGGCTGGGCTCAAACTTGCGATTTTCCTGCTTTAGTCTCCCAGTTGTTTTGTTTTTAATGATGCATTTGTACCTTTTGGACTCGTTCTTATCATTAAAGTAGGAGTGCTAGTTTCTTGGGATTTTCTGTATCTGATAAAGGAGAATCTCCTGGTTATGATTCAGTTTCAGTAGAATCATGGGGATCCCTGAGGCAGGGTAGCTCACTGGTATGCTCTGTCTGGTTGTTGGCAGGCACTCATAAAAACTTTTCATGTATTTTTACCTAGAACTGTTTATGTAGTATTGGGCAAAAGAAGGCCTCAGTAGACAAAGCCTGAGCTCAAAGGCATGACTACACAATTGTACATGACTGTATAATAAGACAATATAGCACGTAGAAAGGATAGACATGTAAGGCCACAGAGGACTTCCCAACCCTTCCGTCTCAAAGAACTGATTTTGTTCAGGATATGATACCCCAAAATATATATTGGCATTTAAGAAAATAGCAGAAGCAAGAAGGTCACCTCTTACTACCCTGAAAACCTTAATAAAATAAAGATTTTCTGATCTTTCCCAGAAGCAAATCACAATACCCTCACTTTAGAGATGTTTCCAATACATGAAGAAAAGGAAATGAAGACACAAGGCTGACAAGGAGTATTTGCTAAATTTTCTGTAGTTTATTATTGTTCGATCATACCTCCATTGTCTTAACTACTCTTCAGACTTACTATAGGTTGCATATCCCTAATCCAAAATTCTGGATCCGAAATGCTCTAAAATCTGAAAATTTTAATGACACTACAAGTGGAAAATTCCATATCATGAAATTTTGTTTCATAGACAAAATTATTTGAAATGTTGTACAAAAGTAACTATAGGCTACTGGTTTCCATCCCCAAGATATTTCTTTTTGTATATGCAAATATTTCAAAATCCAAAAATATTTAAACCCAAAACATTTCTGATCTCAAGAATTTTGACCAAAAGATTTTCAGCCTATATAAAATATTCTCAAGTTTAGATGTTTCTTTGGGTATTCATTTCCTAATAAGGGCTCCTACAAAAGTACAGTTTATTTAAATCCATGGGGTTTTTTTCTCTCTTATTAATTTGTCTTTTGTTTTAGAGGCCTCAGCTATAAACCTAGAATGGGTATAAAACAAAAAAAAGGGCATTTTCCTTCCTCTATGGTACTTTTGGACCTTCTTCATCTATATGTAGAATATGCACTAGCTGCTACTGTCTCTGCTGCGCTTGTATTATAGATGCACCTAAATTAGATATTTATATTATAGGCAGTCAGATAGGGCTAGGTTCTCAAAGGAATCAGGACAAAGGTGAAATACATCACAATTGCAGCCAGAGACACATCTGTTAGAGACAGGCCTCAAATCAAAGACAAGATGACGAGACCTATATACTTCCTCAAAGGGCAAGCACTGATCCTAACGAAGGCTAGATAGACATTAGTCACCCCGGTGAGTTACCAGAGATCGCTGGACCCACCATTTCCTACAAGAAGAATTTGTTCTTTCCACCCACATTTACTACATCACCTGTTTCACAACTGGACCACTGTTACCTAAGTGACTACACTTGTAACCTTACTGGTTGATCATGGCTGAGGCCCTCATTATACCCACATGGTTTTACTCCGTAAAACTCCCCTGTGGAGTGGGGTCCCTGGATACCCTTTCTGCACCTATGACTCTGAAGAGCTATCCTACCAATAAATGTCTTCTGGTGTGAATAAACTATAATAGTACGTAAGATCCTAATGAGATAATTGACAGTGTGAAATAGGAAGAAAAGGGCTAAAGATGTAGAGAAAGTGGGAAGGGTAGGGGAAAGGTAATCAGGGAAAGGAAACAAATAGGAGAAAATGAAAAAATGGAACTAAAGTGTTTGTAAATGGGGAGGGGAGGAGCAGGTGAAGGGAGGGCAGGGACAAGGGGAAAAAAATGAGAACCGAGGGCAGGAAAGACCATAACACATGGGATGAGGTATGAGAGACGAAGAAAAAACCAACCACGCGAAGAGCTAAAGAGGCTTCCGAGCTGAGGGAAGAGCAAGTCCAAGAACTCTGAGTCGAGAAAGTCTTTCTTGTGGAAAATCAAAGAGGAAGCTATTGTGGCTGGTGTGTATAGGAAATGGAGGGAGAGGTGTGAAAGACTGGCACTGCCCTTTAAGAGAGGGAATCAAGTGATTTGTTGTAGGAGACTGGCTTGATATAACTTTTCCATGTATACAAAAACCACAGTAGCAGGCAGGGGGAAAATATTCTGTGTTGGGCCTGGTGGGAGAAGAACTGAGAATAATTCTCAAGAATTAAGACTGAAAAATTCCTTCCCAAGCCTCATTCCAGAATCTCAACAGCCGAAAAGTGAATCAAAGCTTGGGGAAACATATTTTCATTCCCACCTAAAACTTTCTGCCCCACTTCCCAAGATCTTGGTGGCATTTGATTTTAGTTATTGATCACTTTTTGCTGTGCATGTGTGACTATACTCTACTCACTGCCTAATGACCACCTAGCAAGACCTGCTGCCACCTGGACACTCGTACTTCCCCTCCTCCTATTGCGGCCCCTTACTACCCAGCTGCTGTAGAGATCTGATCAGATTTTTCAGTGTTCTCCAATTGGACTTTTCTGCTTCAGCTCCGATAAAGCCACTTTTCCTTCCGTCTAGCAAGCAACACAGTAGTAGTGGTACCTCAGCAACCGTCACATTCCCCTTACATAATCCCCTGCTCTTTCAATCTGATCAGTCTTTGTGAACTTTCATTTTCATTAATGACAATTTGTGGATGATGTTTTTACAATATCAGCTTTCTTAGTAACCACTGAATTGGTTTACCCCTCCCCATTTTTGCCACTAAAGAATTACGACAAGCTCCAGATGCTCAACTGATGCCTGATTCCTTGTGAGAAAAACTTGAGGGCAGTATTGGATGTATCCTTTGATCAGCTGATTTACCTCACCCTCAAAAATCTCACAATCAGATCTACATTGCTTTTGCCTTTTCTCCCAAGATTTTTAAAATGTCCTCCTAAAATATGAATTGAATTCACAGCTAACCCTGATGTCTAGAATTCTCAAGGCAGTCATGGAGTTAAGATCTAGGTTGTGACCTTCATTTCACACATGTAAAGATATAATATGTGAAGACCTATGTCTTGCAAAATCATCTTTATTTTTTATTTTTTATTTATTTTTGTACCAGGGATCAAACTCAGGTCCTTATGCTTACAAGGCAGGCACCAGAACCACTGAACTAAATCCCTGGCCCCTGCAAAATCATCTTTATTACTTCATATTTTTCAAATACACTAATTGCTTTACACTTTCCACTTGAACACAAAGCATTATGCAATCAGCCACAGAAGTGAACAAGTAGATATACCTACCACATCTGGGCCACCAGCATGACTCCTGTATCTTGAAAGATGATGTTTCTGCTGTTTTCCCTTCAGCTCTCTAGATATCCTAGATTTGGAAGTGCTGAAATTGAAACAGATTCTAGCTGAGTCACAGTTTCTTCACTATCTGCTTTCCCTGAGGATACTATTATTTAAATTACACAATCGTCTACGTGAGAGAGTCTAACTAATAGTATGCTTTAAAAGAACCAGATCCAGCAGAAGCCATCATGACTATCTCACAAGGTCAGATTTTTTTTTTCTTTTCTTTTTTTTTGGTTTTTTGAGACAGGGTCTCACTATGTAGTTGAGACTGACATGGTACTCACTATGTAGCCCAGGCTGGTCTCGAACTCACAGCGATCCCCCTGCCTCAGCCTCCCAAGTGCTGGGATTACAGGCACGTGCCACCATGCCTGGCTAAGGTCGGAATGTTGATAGGCTTCTCTGCATATAAAAGAAAGGAAATTATCCTCCAAATAAGCTGGGCCTCTTTTGTAGTACACAAGAGAAAGAAGGCTTCCCATGCTCATGGTTTTCTGTTTTGTTTTTTTTTTTAGAAGAGTTGAAGAAGACTAAGTTTTTGGCCTCATTATAATTGGAGGGGATATGAGGGAATCGAAAATGGAAAAGTAGATGAGGAACATTAAAAAGCAAAACTAAATTAAAAAACCATCAAAGAAGCATGAATGTGCTTTCCCATGAGAAAGTGTGTGTAATAAATGTTTCAGTGAATTGCCTATGTTTGGTGTTGTACAAATGTTTTCATGTGTTGGAATCAACTTGTGCTTTGTGCATATAGATCACTGCAGAACTGCCTATAAATGATTGCATGGTACAGAAAGGCAGTGTGAAAAGGTCACTGGCCTGAGATCAGAAGACCTGGATTGTGATCATGTGAGGACAAAGAGCCAGTCTACAGTGGCCTTCTTCAGGGAACGCAAAGACCCAAGAGTTGGTGTAAAAAACTATAATAGTACATAAGATCCTAATGGTATAATGGACAATGTGAAATAGGAAGAAAAGGGCTAAAGGTGTAGGGAAAGTGGGAAGGGTAGGGGAAAGGGAATAAGGGAAAAAAATATGAGAAAATGAAAAAATGGAAATAAAGTATTTGTAAATAGGGAAGGGAGGAGGGGGTGAAGGGAGGGCAGGAGTAAGAGGAAAAAATGAGAATCAATACCTGTCATGTAAAGGTACAAGATCCCAATGATGAATGTAATTGTACTGTATACCTGCAATGTACCAATAAACTCAATGAAAAAAATTTTTTTAAAAGACCCAGGAGTTAGACAGTATGTTGAGTGTCCATTAATCAACACAATTAGTACTAGGACTCACTTGTGATAGGGAATACTTTAATAGCAAAAAACCTAAGAAATGTCACAATGTAAAATAACTTCTGCTGTTCGCTTTGTTTAGTTCAGAATCAACAGGCACCAGAGGCATCTAATCTCCCTTAAAATTTTTGTAAATGAAAAGAACCATTGTTAACTTTGCTGACCAGACATGCCCCCTTCCTCTGGACTAGAATAGATAACTAAACGAATTTTAAAGGTAACCTCTTCTATCAAAGAAATGCTACATCTGAGTTGAAATTCAACTGCCTCACCACCACGTTTTGAATATCAGCAATGTGAACTGTGGAAATGAAATGTAACCACCTGAAAACTTCCTATAAAACTCCTATAAAAGAAGGAGTTGTAGCCTGGTACTGGGTTGATCAGGGCACTGCCATTAGGTGTGATCAACCCCCGTTGATGGAGCAAACTTGTGTTATTTTACTTTCATTCAGCTGCCTCTCTGTGTGTCACTTGCCAATTCCTTCCTTAACACTTGAAGATGAGCCCCATTCCAAACAGACAATGCTAACACATTGGAGATATACAGGGGATTAAACTGAGTTTTGTTGCATGGTAACCCCTGTTTCTTACACTACATGGCTTCTCAAGAAACATCCAACCTACCCACACACAAAGCGAGCTTTGCCACCTTATCCTGAATTCAGGGAGGAAAGGAAAAATGTTTACAGAGCTACCCTTGCCAACTCTTACCAATTATGTCAAAACTCCCTAAGGCGCCTGAATTCCATTCTGAGATACATGATTCCTCCTTAACACCAGAGTGCTGATGTCTAATTTTTAAAAGATATGAAATGACTTCTGAATTAGAAGAAATCACATTGTGAAAATTACAGATGAGATTCAGTATTAATATCAGAGGGATTGATGTTTTACAGTAATTTTAAAACACTTCTTAGAGTTTCATACATGGAAATAGTAACAACTTTTAATGAAATCTGCTTTGGGTTCCTCCTAGATTAAAATACTCTTCAGGAACAGAAAATTGAAAAGGGCCTACTTGTATCTTGAGATCGTGGGGAAAGGAGCTAGGAGCTCAGTTAAGTACTGATTTAAACTTTTAAGCACTTAGCTGTAGGTCATACTCAAGGGGTTCCTTAAACAACTCTTCAACTCAGCCTTAAGAGACAGTCTATTAATAGATCAAAAGCAGTATTGCAAGTAGCTATTGCTGTCTGACTCATGTTTCTAATATATTTCCATATGAAAAAAGCTGAGTTTCTATTCCAATAATTAGGCTACCCAGAGTTACCAAAACTCAGGTCTGACTCATAGGTTACCAACCATTCAGGATACTATGACCTAGCAATGACCCAGAACTGGAAAGGCTGGAAATTATGGTTTCTTCACTATCAGACTCTGAGACCCTAACAAACCACCAACTGGAGAGCAAGCTGAGACTAGTCTTTGAGAGTGGATGCTATGTAAAGACTCCTGGTGGGCCAGCCACCCATTTCCAAAAACCCACAGTAACAGTCTGTGGAGGGAAAGCAATAGTAATGTATTCACTAGAGTTAGAATTGACTTTCAGTAATAACTTTATTGCATAACTGGCTGACTATCCAGATTAACTGAAGTGACTAGCCAAGTGACTGTGAGCAAATCCTTCCACTTCTAGGAACCAATTTCTACTATTTATAAAATACAGGCCTTGGATTTAGTAACAACTAATAAACCATAAACTTCTATTAAGAATTATGAAAAGAAACAAGAACTTCATATATAATTTAGGATGTAAGTATTAAAAGTCTAAATCTGGCTCATCTAAAATTCTCTAAGGTATTTTCCAAATGATTTCATTAAGTCTGGAATTAAATGATGTTTACTGCTATAGCATTCTGGATTTCCTTAATAGGAATGTATATATTATATTTCATTAAAACTCCTAATATTATTTAAATTAAAATAAAATTTCAGCATTAGACGAAAAAGTTTAGATTATATCTTGCTTCTAAGAAAATTCATTTCAACAGCAGCTGACATCCCCTAATGATGATAGTTTTATGAAACAGTACAACTGATTATCTGTCCACATGTGGGATTTAATCCTAAACTGATTCCTATAGTATAAGGTTCAATGGGGATATAATATCTTTTATTTCTTTTTAAGTCCAAACACCATCTAATTCAGTACTAAAAATATAGCCAACATTCAATAATGTAATTACTGGCTAAATCCAGGCGGTCAGGGAAGAAAGGACATTACTACTTGGACATGCCCTCTGAGTAAATGCCACTTTTGCCTTACTAGCTAATCAGTCAGTAAACTAAGCATGGTGCATATCTAATATTCCCTCTTAAAAAAAGGCCATTGGCTGAAAACGAGGTCCAGAGCAATCACATTAGATGGATTGTCATGTGTCTCCAACAGGGAGATTAAGTGTCCGAGTGCCTCCCACATTTCCCCAAGGGCTATTCTTAAAGTCTCGTTGTCCTAGAGCAGTCTCCACACCTAACACACTCACTGTCAGTTCTCAGTTATATTTGCAAAGGTAGCTTTCACCTACATTGGGATTCTTAGGGAGAGGGCAGGAGAGAGGGAAAAGAGGAGGGGAAGACAGGGCTAGAAGGGACATGAAGTAGACAGGACATAGGAAGGAAGGAAGGAGTGAGAAGCGGGTGGAGAGAGACAGACAGACAGACAGATCAATCTGTAATCCGCAAGGCAGGCCAGCAGAACGGAGACCAGGGATGAGATATTACACCTTAGCTTTGAAGACAGTCAGGAGACTTCAGTCCTTTCTCTCACAGCCTGCAATGGCCACTCACGTCATAGAAGACAGTCAACTCGACTCAAAGTCTGCTAATTTAAACATTAATCACATCGAATGCCTTCACAGCAGCTTTTGGATTAGTGTTTGACCAAAGCGTCTAGATACGGAAGCCTAGGCAAGTTGACAGAAAAAAAAAAAATGAGCCCTCACAGACATCAAAGCGGAATACAGGGTTTTGAACATTCTAATAATCTTCTGAAAGTTCATTCATTACTTTAAATACTCTTCAAGTAACAAATTTTCTAATTTTTGAAAAGATTTAGAAAATTTGAAATTAGAAAAAAAAAATCCAATTCCCAATCTTTTACCACCTCTCCAACTGAAACAATTTTATTCATTCTCTTCATATCTATTGCATGTTGGCACTAAGGATACATAGGAGAAAAAAGCCCTTTCTCCAACCAAAAGGATTGTATAGTGTGAGAGGAGAAGAGCATGCAAACTATCATGTTACAGGGTTGCTGCTTTGAGTTGCACAGGACAAGAGAGGAAATCAAGTTAATAATAAACTAGCAGCTTCGTAGCGCCTGCCTACAAGAGTCCTGTTTGCTCTCTCTCTACAGCACACATATCCTCAGTGTACAATGGTTAGAAATTTGATCTTTCTTGGAGCTGAGTCTGAGGGCTTGTGACCATGGAAGGTTTGTAAACTCATTATCCTCTCCTTAATAAACACTCTGCTAAATAAATTCAGTCTCTCAGGAGAACTTGTTGCTCAAGGAGATGAAATTACCTTAGCGGTACTTTCTCTTCACTTCTGCTAGCAACTTTATGTTTCTCTCCTAATTTGACACTCATTAAGCTTTAGGTTTAAAAGAAAGACTTTATATCTATATTTATATTCATGGAGCTGTGTCTGTGGACAGGGCAGACAAGTGTGCTAACCTGTGTCACTGAGATGGAGGCAACCTTCCTTTCTCATGCAGTATGAAGATTGGACTCTGCAG